CTGGTCCAGTTGCGATTGTGTAATGCGGCTGGATGTGGCGTCAAACTAGCACGTGATACAGTCACAATTAGCAGAGATTTCTTACGGATGTGGAAAGGGTCTACCAAAGCAGGGAGACAGTCACTACTTGTCCCTTCTCAGCCCCTCTCAACCCTGACGCTAGTGTCGCTAGTATTTTACACCAAACGGAATTTGCTTCTGAGGATAGTCAGGCTGGGCATCCCTTTGCACTGACGTTCATTATCAGTAACATACTACCTGCGTTGTAGCAAAACAAACTCAACTCAAAAAGAAACGCGAGGTTTTCTCTAAGCACAGGAGGTAGTAACAGTAATATGCTTTCGAAAAGGCTTCTCCAGTGTCTGGTCTGACAAATCTGACGACGCTGTGCAGTCTGATGTGTGCGGAGGTGACGTGGAGTATAAAGTGTCAGAAGAGATTGACCGTCGAACTATTTGACCGTTAAATGGTCGCTGGTGTGTCCAATAACTCATTGGACCAGTTGTGGTTGCACGTAGGATTCTGTCACCCAGGTGTGAGGTCACCGAGGTGTGAGGTCACCCAGGTGTCTTGGCAACTCGTTGTATGCTCCTCCCGATTCAATAACGCCCGACTGAACAGGTTTCCCGTGTTAGTGAGTGAGTGAATATAGTTTGACGCCGGGTTAGAATATTGATCTTCAGTAACCCATGCTTGTCGTAAGAGGCGACTAAAGGGATCGGGTGGTCAGGCTCGCGGACTTGGATGACACATGTCATCGGTTCCCAAGTACGCAGATAGATGCTCATACTGTTGATCACTGGATTGTCTGGTCCAGACTCGCTTATTTACACACCGCCGCCATATAGCTGGAATATTGCTGAGTGCGGCGTAAAAATATACTCACTCACTCACTATTCGCAGCGATCACGTGTTGGATGGAGCATGTTGATTTTGCACCAGAACTACAAAAGAGACTGTCACATAATTTAAACCCAGATGGAAAAGTGTCCAATGAACAAAAAAAAACTCCTCAAAGCTTCTGGCAAAGAAGGGCGTACCACGCTTAGTCATTTTACAAGAGACGCATGTGCCATCATGGATGCGTTTTGTGGAATGTTACCATGTGAAATTAATGTAATTTTGTCTAATGAAAAGGAAAATAATTTCATAATTCTGTATCGCTTCAGCAGAATGATATTGTCCGTCAAATTTGCGTTTCTTTTCGAGTTGAGTATATCTATGCTATTAAAACAGTTTAACAAGAATGAATCACAATACCACGGTGTTTGGTCGCGACTCTTTGAGAAAAGTATCATGTTGTCTTCTTTTCTTCGTTCTGTGGAGATCGCTGGTTGGGAAGGTATGAAGCGTTGTACGCAGAGTTGAGAAACATGAAGAGTGATGTTTTGATTATGTGAAAAGGTCAGTATCTATTACACGAGAAGAATCGTTTAATATTGACTGTCTGTTGTTGCAGATTGAAAGGTCGGTTATACAAAGAGGATATATAAATATCCACATGTCGGTTATGGTGATGCCTCCCTGTTTGTGCTCTGACCTTTTCCAGCAGCCGTGGTGGCACATTTGGTCGATAAAGGTGATATATGGTAATCTCGGCAGTGACAACTATCAGAGTTCATCAGATCGATGAGTGAGTGAGGTCAAATGAAAAATATGTTGTGGTTTCGATAATATACACCTCTTTACACATTAGGGTAGGTAGGTAGGTGAGGTCAGGTGAGGTGAAATTGGGTTTAACATCGTGCTTGAGAATATTTCGCTCATATGACGACGTGCATGCGTGTGTATGTGTATGTGCGGCTGCTTGTACTAGCCCAGACTCAAGCTGGTTTTAAAGTGCTAGCCCACTGAGATACCATGCCGCAGTGAAGCATGAATACCCCACTCAGACACAGTATACTGACTCCGAGCCGACCAGTCCTTGTTATACCCATTAATGCCGAGCGCCAGGCAGGGACCAACAAGTACCATATTTTAACGTCTTTTGGTATGACGCGGCCGGGGATCGAACCCGCGACCTTCCGCTCTCCGGGCGGACGCTCTAACCACTACACCACGGAGGCGGTCGAAGGTAGGTAGGTAGGTAGGTAGGTAGGTAGGTAGGTAGGTTTAGGTAGGTAGGTAGGTAGGTAGGATTTTATATATTGTTTTTTACGTTTTTTAAAAACAGTAAAGTTCAAACTAATAACACGTTTATCAATGTTTAACGGTTTATTCAATCAAGCTTGCGACCATCATGGCGACTTTCTCAGTTAGAATGACCGATGTCTCTCAGTGCCTGGAAAAGACAATAGTATCTGAACGCTTATTTTATTCATACGGCTTAAAAAATTAGGGTCGGCTCCTGAATTCAAGAGTCAAGGGTAGGTCGGGTAATCGGAACCACAACAGTTTTTAGGTCTGATCTAGTGTTCGTTAAACGTTCCAATATCCCGGCTATGAAGCGGCCTGTGGGTGGGAAACATGTATACATAACAAGTTCATTTGGGGTTGAAAATACTCTCCGCTGCTCTATGTGTTTGTTGTTTAACGCCACACTCAGCAATATTTCAGCTACGGTGGCGGTCTGTAAATATTCGAGTTTTGAAAAACAATCCAGTGATCAACAGCATGAGAATCGATTTATGCAACTGATATACTATGACAAGTGTCAGCCAAGTCAGCGAACCTGACCACCCTATCCCGTTAGTTGCCTCTTACGACAAGCATGGGTTGCTAACCAGGAGTGAGTGAGTGAGTGAGTGAGTGAGTGAACTGCGCACCCAACCTTTCTCAAAAAGCTGTATCCGCCCCAGATTCACATTTGTGACAGAATCTTCTTGCAGGTTACGGAGAGGGGCGACTGGTGACGAATGTCTCGCCAACTGAAAACTCTTCCTGGACACGATGCACCGATTGATACGACAGCAAACGTTCTCACATTTACGACTTCCGGTTGATACATGGAAGGGAGGTAACTGATGAATGCCAGTGTTTGCTATGTTCTCCCTCTTTTTTGTCAAAGTCTTCGATATTTACTCAGGAGTATGTTCAGACAGCATGTTAAGAAAGACAAGTCTTGATGAAGCGTGAAAAAGGGAAATGACACAAGAATGTCTCACAGAATACCTTGGTGTGAACATTACCATTGAAGCGGATTCAGTTCAAATCAGGGGTAATAGCCAGTGTAGGAAAATTATATGAATGTCACAGGACTGGCAGAATACCAATAGTGTCCTCCAAATATAAATAAAAACATTACAATTCAAAAGGTTATAATCATTATATATATAGCTCTAAAAATCAAACATGAGACGGAAAGCTCTGTTCCGTCCTTTAGAAATTCACCCGTCTACACGGGCTATCTTTCCTACACTGATAAAGCTCTGTTCCGTTTAGAAATGTACACATCTTTTTAAAGTCATTTGGAAACATGTCAAGCTTACGTCCTTTTATGTTCAAAACAATGAATTAAGAAATTTGTGTAACCACTTATGGCACGCATAGGTGAAAGGGGAGCAGTTCTTTAGTTCATAAATATGTTAACAAATATAACGGGAAATTGGGAAATTATATACATATGTATATGTTGTATATGACCCTGTATAGCTTACATAGCGAATGGACCCGTGAAGATCCGGGGTAGAATAGGTCTTCAGCAACCCATTCTTGTCATAAAAGGCGACTATGCGTGTCGTAAAAGGCGACTGACGGCATCGGGTGGTCAGGCTCGCTGACTTGGTTGACACATGTCATCGGTTCCTAATTGCGCATATCGATGCTCATGCTGTTGATCACTGGATTGTCTGGTCCAGACTCGATTATTTACAGACCGCCGCCATATAGCTGGAATATTGCTGAGTGCGGCGTAAAACTAAACTCACTCACTTACTCACTACATAGCGAATGAAACACCTGACGCAGCGATTACTTCCTAAACACACGTGTACGGAGTGTAACAATGAGATACCATATCTTAACATATCGATTGTTTCAGATATATTATTACTTGAGTATATTGTCGTACAGGTAATGTTTTGTATTTGTTTTATAAGTGAATAGGTCAGGTCTCTATCGTTGATAACCCCCTGTTGGTTATGAGTTACATTTCTATGTGTTCTGTAATCGACATCGTTGATGTGTGAGATTGGCAAGTGATTGACGTATCATGACACATGAGGTGTCTAACAAAGGGTCAGGCTAAAGCAGATACAGCGTGGTAACTGAATAAACCTGTTGATATAAAACACAGGCATTCGGCAACATACGCATTCTCCGAGATTACACTTACCAGGCACGGCTTGTTTGCTCCGCGGTAGAATAGCTTAAAGGAAGGGAAGCATGGTTCATGATGTGCGACGAAAAAGAAGAAGGGGGATGGGAGACCTCCTTGGAGGATGCACTTTATCTGTCCTTGAATCAGAAAAGTATTTTTTTACACATGGCAACAATTCCCAAGGATGCAGTTCTCTTGATTCGCATGCACCTGTGTGCAATACACCTGGAATACACCTGGAGTCAATACACCTGAAATCAATGCACCTGGAGTCAATACACCTGGAATCAATTCACCTGGAGTCAATACAACTGATTGCAAAACGCTTCAATGCAAAGTACCAACTAGCTGCATATCATCTGGATTGAATACACCTGAGTACAGTACATCTGGATTCAATAGATCTGAGCACAGTACATCTGGATTTAATAGACCTGAGCACAGTACATCTGGATTCAATAGACCTGAGCACAGTACATCTGGATTCAATAGAACTGAGCGCAGTACATCTGGATTCAACAGACCTGAGTACAGTACATCTAGGTCCCACACACTTGATTACAGCGCATCTGGATTGAATACACCTCTGTGCAGTGCATCTGGACCCAATACACATGGATCCAATACACCTGACTACCATACATCTAACGTCAGTACAGCGGAAAGTAACACGGCTGGATCTATTGAACCGGCTTCTCATTCACCAGTGAGCTCAGGTAAAAGGAAATTTGGAGTAGTCGATATGTGCATCGGCATCGAACCAAGACCCACTGTTCCTGACAGGTTCTCCAGGGCTCAAGTGGTATGTACAATGATTCAAGGTGCTTCAATGATTCAAGGTGCTTCTGAAGCTGATTCGCGAAGGAGAAGGAATGGACAGGGGAATATATTTACTGGGGTCGACCCCGCGTTTCTTAGACTAGTGGGATGGACAGAAAACGAAATTCATCAGTTATATAAACAGAATTATGTCGGCAGTGTACATATGCTCAGAAGCTCTGATGATGCACGTTAAGGTGATACCAAGGGGTGTTCTGCCTTTTTTTAACATGAGCAGATTGTCCATTGAACATGAACAGAATTTGCTTTGAACATAAACTGGATGTGTTTTGTATATGAACAATATGTGCTTTGTACATGAACGGGATCTGCTTTGAACATAAACATAATGTGCTTTGTACATGAACAATATGTGCTTTGTACATGAACAGAATCTGCTTTGAAAATAAACTTAATGTGCTTTGTACATGGACAATGTGTGCTTTGTACATGAACAGAATGTGCTTTGAACGTGAAATTAATATTCTCTTTGAAGGTGAGTCGGTCTGAACTTAGACAAAAAGAGCTGTACCTAAACCCTGGAAATTTTGTCACCATTCGCCTCATTTCGTAACTTGCAAGATGACTCATGACCTTTCAATGAAAACTTTGTAAGAGAAATACAATCCCTAAGTGTATCTTGTAAGTGCTTTGGTTGAAGAATAACTCCTTAATGCCTTTGTCCATAGATAAAGTTTGTATTTAATTGCTTCATTAAACTGGATAACAAGTACTTGTGTCATATTTCGAAAATATACATGTAAACTTACTAATCAAAGCGGAGGTGTGTCAGAAAATGTACTAAATACACGCCTATAACTCAACGAGACATAGCTCTGCGAGGGTTCCGATAAATGGTACCGTATTGGTGTCAATAAATGGAATTCTGTCTTATGTTATTCGCGTCCTATCATATGTATACACAACAAAACTACTGATTTGTAGATTAGAACTTTTGGATAGTAGAGTTTTGGTTGCTGATTTGCCAAAGGATTATAAACAGCCAGATATGTCTTGTGTGAACTGTTCATTGAAAATACTTTTCGCTGATCTGTCTGTTTGTTTTTTAACGATCAGCAACATGCCGGCTATATGGCGGACCAGACAACCCAGTGATCAAGAGCATGAGCATCGATCTACGCAATTGGGATAAGATGACACCCGATACAGTTAGTTGCCACTTACGCCAAGCATGGGTTTCTGAAGACCAATTCTAACCCAGGTTTTGATGGTTACGTCGCTGCCAGCATTTGGCCCTTTATGAAATGAATATTGAATAATGACACGCCGAGTCAATAAACACACAGGTTAACCTGTTTACGCGGAACATAATAATATAAACTTAAATGAAGTTAAAGAATGCAAGAGTAGAAAATATGACTATATTTAATCCGTCGTAACTAGAGTAACTAGCACATTAAAACAAGTTAGTGTTCTTCAACTTGTTTTGAGGGGTACATATACAATTTTCTATTGTCCAGTAAGTCTCCAGTCCACTCAAGATGTGTTACCTTGAAAAATAGGTTTTCTTATGCACTTTTGATACACTCTCCACAAGCGTAGCTGACTAGGATCAGTAATATTTGTTGTCGTCGGTTAATTGTAACCAGATCTTACTATCTAAATGCACGTCAGTTTTGTTTAAGATTTGAAGGGCGCTTCCGGCACCTCAAATATCGCACTCTCAATACAGCGTGTCTCTTCGTTAGAATGTCTACTAACGGGATCGGGTGGTCAGGTTCGCTGACTTGGTTGACACATGTCATCTTATCCCAATCGCGTAGATCGATGGTCATGCTGTTGATGACTGGGTTATTTACAGACCGCCGCCATATAGCTTGAATACTGCTGAGTGCGGCGTTGAACAACAACCAACCAACCAAGCTAAAGCATATAGATCCATGTCATGATTAAAAAGAAATTCGATGAGTCTATATCGAGAGGAGAAAAAGTCGAGAATACTTGTAACAAGCCCTGCATATAAACAGCCACGAAACCTAAGCCTGTCTGAGGACTATTGAGTGTTCGCCTGCTCGGAGATGCCGTATTTCCGCCTATCTCTTCACATGACTGACCACGTGTAATGTGACGGATCTTCAGTGTTTGACGTAGCGATGGGGCTGTCCACAAATATAACCTGACCACATCACTACAGAGGTCCGGCTTCACCGTGTGATATGAGTACACATTATGGATTCTGTTGATGTCCGCCAAGAGAGAGAGAGAGAGAGTGTGTGTGTGTGTGTGTGAGAGAGAGAGAGAGATCCTGTTGTACCTAGGCGGATCCATAGGCGCACCACTGCACCCCCCTTTGTCCTGAAAGTTTATTAAATGACCATTGAAACTCTCGTGAAAACGCGTGAAAATGAACTGTGTACCCCCTTTCTCAAAAAGCTGTATCCCCCCTGTTGTATACCTGCTACAACGTTTTTCAAGATAATAACAATATATTATTATAAAATTTTAAATTCTGGTAGAACTAATAGTTCAAATGTTCTGTTGACATGACTTGGTTAACTTGGTTGTCATCTTGTTATATGAAAACGTCATGTTTACACTGGTGACCGACACAGATGCACACACACGCTCACACACATAACATATTTACCAAATAGACATCAAATTAACTAACTAGGACACAAACAGTGTTTGAATAGTGTAGTAGTGTCGTGTAGAGTAGTGTTGAGTAGTAGTGCAGTGCGGTGCGGTGGGGTGCGGTGCGGTGTAGTGTAGTGTAGTGTAGTGTAGTGTAGTGTAGTGTAGTGTAGTGTAGTGTAGTGTAGTGTAGTGTAGTGTAGTGTAGTGTAGTGTAGTGTAGTGTAGTGTAGTGTATTGCTGTGCAGCGTAGCGCGGTGCGGTGCGGTGCGGTGCGGTGCGGTGCGGTGCGGTACGGCGCAGTGTAATGTAGTGTAGTGTAGTGTAGTGTAGTGTAGTGTAGTGTAGTGTAGTGTAGTGTAGTGTAGTGTAGTGTAGTGTAGTGCGGTGCGGTGCGGCGCAGTGCAGTGTAGTGCAGTGCAGTGCAGTGCAGTGTAGTGTAGTGTAGTGTAGTGTAGTGTAGTGTAGTGTAGTGCAGTGTAGTGCAGCGTAGTGTGATGACAGAAGTATAGTGTTTATTCTAATAGTGTAAACACACACAAAAGTAGCCTGTTATCTGAGAGAAACCCCATTTCCCCAAATCAAACTATTTCCCAACAACTTGCGGTGTTAGCCATACTACTATACGAGTTGTAAAGGAAGATCCTATTTTGCCAACTTTGATTGACAGGCACTCAGTAATGTTGTAAACATGACGCCAAACTACGCCAGGAAGAGAACGGAAATTGTGCGTGGCTACGCACGGGGAAAACAAGCTGAACGACATCGTCGACTATCTGGGGCAGGTTATTGATTCTCAGATATGAAATCAAGTTAGATGGTGCGTTATTAGCACGTATCGTGTACATTTCAATGCGGCATGACTGTAATTTGCTTCATTTCATGACTAAGGAAACAGGGTTGGTACGAATCTTGTTTTCAATTCCACGATGACGGCACAACTGAATGTTTACCAAGCTACCTATTAGCTCCCATTCCTTCGTAATATATTTTTCTTCTAATTGAACTTTTATTCATATGTGGGTGAATTGAAATGACGAGATCATATGGCAAGTCAACACTGAATATTTCGACAACATGTGTTGCGTCAGTGTGGAATAGATTGTGAACATATTACTTTTTTGAAAATAATTTTCTCATAACAAAAAAATTATAACAATTTCTTTCGGTAATTTTCCCCTAAACTAAAGTTAACAATGCATTACTTTTGAATACAAATACGCACTGACGCGATTAAAGCTATTTTGACCGTTTGACCATGTGTTGAATCCAAGTCAAAACAGTTTCCATGTACGCCGGGGCGTTGGGGTAGCCTGGTGGTTAAAGCGTTCGCTCGTTATGCCGAAGACCCGGGTTCGATTCCCCACATGGGTACAATGTGTGAAGCCCATTACTGGTTACTATAAGTTATATATGTATAATTTATTTATTTTTGTATATCTGTAACTTTATTCCTAACATGAATCATACACATTTTTGTAAATTTTGTAAAATAAAAAAAAGGCAAAATGTTGAATATATGGAACACGAGAATTGGCTTCAGACATTGTCCAGGGTCATAGAACCAGGGTCTTCGGCGTGAAGAGCGAACGCTCTAACCACTAGGCTACACCACCGCCCTGAAGCTGCTTTGAAACAATAATTCAAGATGCTCGTACTCGTCAGTAACTGTTAAACGTTAATCTAACCATCCTGATTTCATCTTGAATTGATCTTCAGCAACCAATGCTTAAGACCCAGTCTTGTCTGACACCGCAGTCAGTGTTATTCCAGTTATATGTCACCTTTATGTGAATAATCGAATTTGGTTCAGACAATCCAGTGATTGAGATCATGAACATTAATCTAGGCTTATAGGACACTGTGATATACATCAACCAAGTCAACGGGTCTGGGACCCGTGAAGATCCGGGTTAGAATGAGCCTTCTGAATCCCATGCTTGAGACGACTAACGGGATCGGGTGGTCAGGCTCGCTGGCATGGTTGACACATGTCATCGGTTCCCAATTGTCCAGGTCGATGCTCATGCTGTTGATCACTGGATTGTCTGGTCCAGACACATTTATTTACAGACCGCCGCCATATAGGTGGAATATTGCTGAGTGCGGCGTAAAACTAAACTCACTCACTCAACGGGTCTGACCTCCCTGTCACGTAAGTCGCCTCTCACGTCAAACATGGGTTGCCGAAGATAAATCTCAACAGGATCTGTGATACAACCATTGCGATATTATTGTCAATATATTTTACATACACACACCTGCTCACATATACTGCGTTAAGCTGTTCAGAGCAACACGATTCTTTCATTTTGCTTTAGTTGGTAAAACACTGCACACGTAATTTTAAAAATGACAACAACGAGTCCCTTATTGCAAAGAGCGGTGGGGTAGCCTATTGGTTAATGCGTTCGCACGAAACACCTTGAAGCCGGGTTCCATTCCCCACATTTGTACAATGTGTGAAGCCCCCGCCGTGATATTGCTGGAACATTGTTAAAGCGGCGTAAAATTAGAGTCACTCTCTCACTCACTCCCTTATCACTATTCTCGTGTCAAATAAATACAGAATCAACGAATAACAGTTGAATTCAGCTAACGTCAAAAACAGATGTATAAGTTCATTTTCATGACAGTTGATTAACAAAAAAATTAAACAAAACAATACCATACTGTTAGTGACGGACGTGAATATGTTCCATTTCTGTTTGGAAGTCTTTCCACAAAACACGGGTTCCATGAAACCAAATCCGTTTCACATTTGCCATTGTAACCTTTTGCATTATTTCAAGAAAATTTGCTCATTCGATGTTTATATTTCATTTTCACATGACTATTCCCATCACGCATCTTTGAATCATTTGCGTCAATGCTCCGAATGAAACATGAGTTGAACATTTACTGCAGACATGCCCACGAATCTATTCGATCCATGTTCGCCTGGCGATGGATTTTTATTCATTTTTCTCATATAAATCATCTTGGATGTATACAGGACGCGTTGTTGTAGCCACGCACGTCGATCTCAGGTGATTTTGAATTCCGTGAGGCGAGTTGCGTGTCGAAATCTCCCACTGCTCTATTATGCAGCCAGTGACGTCATGAAACTACATAGCTCTCCTTAGCTGCGTTACAGCCTCTTCTGAGAGGGTCCTTGCTTATCGCATTCCCTGAACTCTTGTAACAATATACCCCTCTCTCATTTCATGTACGTCTCAAAATAATTACATTTTCATAGAAATACGATTACATTCGCTTGGGGTCTTGTGGAGAAATGAAAACAAATACCAACCGGTACCTAATATTGAAGGATGTTTTTGAAAATAGTATATGTCTGTTTAAAGCTGTATAATGTTTCGCAATTCCGTGAAGCAGTAATAGATATTGAGTAAAAGTTCAAACGGTTATTCTTTGAGAGGGTTTGAGAGTTAAACGGTTATTATTTGAGATTGTTTGAGAGTTAAAACATAAGTAATAGAGGTATAGGCAGTGAGAGAAGGGATGTAAGAGAGAAAGTGTGAAACATACATACGCACACACATACACACACACACACACACACACACACACACACACACACACACACATACAAGTGAGAGAGAGTGAGAGGAAGATTGAATGAGTCTGAGAGAGAGAGAGAGTAAGAGATAATGAGTGAGAAAGTAAGAGTGCGGGAGAGTAAGAGAGAGTGGGTGAGAAAGAAAGAGAGAGTGAGGGAAAGTAAGAGAGAGTGAGAATGAGAGAGAGAAAGAGAGAGAGTAGGAGAGAGTGAGTGAGACAGAGACAGAGAGAGTAAGAGAGAGAGTGAGTGAGAGAGAGAGAGAGTAAGAGAGAGGGAGAGTAAGAGAGAGAGAGAGAGAAAGAGAGAGAGAGAGAATAGAGAGAGAGAATAAGAGAAGAGTGAGAGAGAGAAGAGAGAGAGAGTAAGAGAGAGAGAGAGAGAGAGAGAGAGAGAGAGAGAGAGAGCAGAGAGAGAGAGTAAGAGAGAGAGAGAGAGAGAGTAGAGAGAGAGAGAGAGAGAGAGAAGAGAGAGAGAGAGAGAGAGAGAGAGAGTAGAGAGGGTGAGTGAGACAGAGAGAGAGAGTAAGAGAGAGAGAGAGAGAGAGAGAGAGAGAGAGAGAGAGAGAGAGAATGTGTAAGTGAGAGTGAAAGGGGGAGGGTGTGTGTGAGTTGCCCAAACGCAATCATTTTCATGTTTTTCGTGTTTTTTGCATGAAGTTTTTGTGTTTCACACAAAAATGCGTGCATTTCACTCCAGTTTGAAGCTTTATAAGGCAGGTCATTCAAAAACACCATAGAATACAAAATTGACTGTGACAACGCGGAGAAAACATGCCACGTCTAACTGAACAGCAACGATGAATCGCCGTTGGAATGTAGCAGACAGGATCCACACCAACTAAAGTGGCCAGGCACTTCAGATGTCACGTGACAACAATCACAAGACTATCCGCAAGGTATCGTCAAACCGGTAATGTTCCAGACCGACCACGTTCAGGACGTCCCAGGGTAACAACGCCAGCGCAAGATCGTCACATCCGGGTTACTCATCTGCGTAACCGACAGCAACGAGCAACACAGACAGCTGCAACCATTCAAGGGCCACAACGTCACATCTCTGCAGACACTGTTCGTCGTCGTCTGAGGGCAGCAGGGATCAGATGTCGCCGTCCTTACGTCGGACCGATTCTGACGTAACGTCACCGCCAAAATCGTTTACAGCGGGCGGAACAACACCAGCGTTGGCGACGTCAACAATGGCAACAAGTATTGTTTTCTGATGAGTCCAGATTCAACTTGTCCCACGCCGATGGCCGATTACGTGTATGGAGACGACGTAATGAACGTTACGCCAACTGTTGTGTTGTGGAAGCTAACCGCTGAGGAGGTGGAAGACTCATGGTATGGGGTGGCTTCAGCTACCACCACAGAACACGTTTACACGTGTTTCGTCAACGTGTGACTGCTGTAGTCTACAGAGACCAGGTCTTTCAACACCACGTTGTACCGCTATTCCAGGCCCAACCTCAGCTCCAGACGTTCCAGCAGGACAATGCTCGTTCTCACATAGTCTGTCTCACAGTCCCTGAACCACATTAATTTCCCTACTGCCAAGCCCTCTCTGCCGCGCTAAAGCCCTAAATAAAGCAAGTCTAGATTTCCTCAGGTTCTGAATCTCTGGTCCTTCTAGGGCTCCTTTTCAATATAAATAGGCTTGTTTGTTACTATCAAAATTATATATATTCAGAGACTAAGCCTTAGTCTAGTTCTCACACTGCACGGGTCTCTATGGACTTCCTCAGAGGGAACAACATTGCTGTACTGCCCTGGCCCTCTCTGTCCCTGGATATGGCACCAATCGAGCATGTGTGGGATGAAATTGGTAGACGGATACAGACAGCTGCTCAACCTCAAAACCTTAGAGATTTGGAAGCCAGATTGGTCAGGGAATGGAATCAAATTCCCCAAGCCTTCTTTCAGACACTTGTTGACTCGATGAGACGTCGTTGTGCTGCCTGCATTGCAGCCAATGGTGGTCACACGCGCTACTGATTGACACACTGTTTCATGACATTTTTGGTGTGTGAGGGTGGAGTGATAACATATGCTTTTACAGTAAACTTGAGTGTTGTTTTCACCAGAGATCACGACTCATTTCTTCAACAATCACTTGTCTGTTGTTTTTTCGTAGAGTTAAGATTGTTTGTTCCACAGATTCAGAAATATTGACATTTCTAAATCAACTTGCGTTTCTTTTGCGGTTCAGTATATATATATATATATACAGACATAAATCCCTCACACCTTTCTTCTCATTTCTCTCACACGCTCTCTTACTCTTTATCCTTTTTTACCCCCTCTCTCTCTTTTCCCCTCTCTCTCAATCTCAGTATCCATCGTTTTCTTACTCTTTCTCTAGCCTCCCTCACACAATCTTTCTCTCTCCTCACCTACTCCCTCTTTCTCCCTCCTCACAATATATCTCTCCTCTCCTACTCTCTTTCTCCCTCTTCTCTCACCCAATATCTCTTTCTCCTCTCTCTCTCCTCTCTCACACAGGGGCGGTGGCATGGGGTAGCATAGTGGGTAAAGCGTTCGCTCGTCACGCTGAAGACCCGGGTTCAATTCCCCACATGGGTAAAATGTGTGAAGCCCATATCTGGTGTCCCCCGCCGCGATATTGCTGGAATATTGCAAAAAGCAGCTTGAAATCAAATTCACTCACTCACTCTCACACAATCTTTCTCTCTCCTCTCTTTTTCTCTCTCCTCTCTCGAAAATCTTACTCTCTGCTCTCTCTTTCTCCCTACTTTTTCACACTCTTATGCTGCCTTTCTCCAGTTCTTTCTTACTATGAAGCAACAACATCCTTTCAATCTTCACAAGGAATCTTTGGTAAAACCAAACCATACGTTGATGAACCACTATCAAACAGTGGTGGTACCAGATATTCCAGAAAATGGGGTCGGGGGTCGGGGGCGTATCTTTCCTCATCGGTGGCACTAGTCACAAATCGTTTTTCAACTGACAGAAGGGGAACAAACGGTTTAAGTTAAAAACGGGGAATTACATTTGTACATAAAAAATCAACTACTACTGCCCCACACTTACCACATCACCACTACCACAACTCCCCGTCACATCACCACCATCCCACCACAAACACCACCACATCACCGCCACTACCACATCACCACACCATCACCACACCATCACCGCATCACTTTCATCACAACCACATCACCACTACCACAACTCCCCGTCACATCACCACCATCCCACCACAAACACCACCACATCACCGCCACTACCACATCACCACACCATCACCACACCATCACCACATCACTTTCATCACAACCACATCACCACTACCACAACTCCCCGTCACGTCACCACCATCCCACCACAAACACCACCACATCACTATCACAGACGCACCACCAACACAACCACATCATCATCAACCACTACCACGGCATCAACTCCCCGCCATCCCACCACAAACACCACCACATCACTATCACAGCCGCACCACCAACACAACCACATCATCACAACCACTACCACGGCATCACCGCCGCCGCCACCACAACACCACCACCACAATATCACCACAACATCACTACCACAACCACACCACCAACACAACCACATCATCACCACCGTTACAACACCACCACTACCTCGGCATCAGCGCCGCCACCACAACAAGAGAACCACAATATCACAACAACATCACTGCCACAACCACACCACCAACACAACCACATCATCACCACCGTTACAACACCACAACCACTACCTCGGCATCACCGCCACCATCACAACAACACCACCACAATATCACCACAACATCACTACCACAACCACACCGCCAACACAACCACATCATCACCATCGTTACAAAACCACCACTACCTCGGCATCACCGCCACCACCACCACGACACATCATCACCATTCCACCCCCACATCATCACCATTCCAACCCCACAATATCACCATAACGTCACCACATCACCACCACACCACCCACCGCCACCACATCACCGCCGTCACAACACCACCGCATCGTCGCCACCACCACAGCAACCCTAACACATCATTACCACCACATCACCGCAACTACCACCACCATTACCACAACCACAGCGCTCACACATTACCACATCACCGCAACTACCAATCACCATCACCACCACATCACCGTCACCATCACATCACCGTCACCACCACATCACCGTCACTACCAGATCACTGTCACCATCACATCACCGTCACTACAAGATCACCGCCACTACCACATCACCGCCACTACCACATCACCGTCACTACAACATCACCGTCACGACAACATCACCACCGATACCACATCACCGTCACTACCACATCACCGTCACTACCACATCACGGTCATCATCACATCACCGTCATCATCACATCACCATCACTACCACATCACCGTCACTACAACACCACCGTCACCACCACATCACCGCCACTACCACATCACCGTGACTACAACATCACTGTCACCATCACATCACCGTCACCACCACATCACCGTCACTACAACATCAAAGTGACTACAACATCACTGTCACCATCACATCACCGTCACTACCACATCACCGTCACCACCACATCACCGCCACCACCACATCACCGTCACTACTACATCACTGTCGCCACCACATCACCATCACTACCACATCACCGTCAGTACAACATCACTGTCACCACCACATCACCGTCACAACCACATCACCATCACTACCACATCACCGTCACCACCACATCACCGTCACTACCAGATCACCGCCACTACCACATCACCGTCACCACCACATCATCGTCACCAGCACAACAACACATCATCACCATTCCACCACAAACACCCCCACAATATCACCGGAACGTCACCATGCACATCACTACCACAACCACACTACCCACCGCTACCACGTCACCACCGCCACAATACCACCGCATCACCGCCACCACCACCACAACCCTAACACATCATCACTACCACATCACCACAACGACCACCACCACTACCGCAACCACAGCGCTCACACATTACCACATCACCACCACTACCAGATCACCGTCACCACCACATCACCGTCACTACCACATCACTGTCACCATCACATCACCGTCACTACCACATCCCCGTCACTACCACATCACCACCACCATCACATCACCGTCATTACCACATCACCGTCACTACAACATCACCGTCACTACCACATCACCGTCACTACCACATCACCGTCATCATCACATCACCGTCATCATCACAACACCGTCACTACCACATCACCGTCACCACCACATCACCGTCACCACCACATCACCACCACTACCACATCACCGTCACTACCACATCACCGTCACCGATTACCACATCACCACCGATACCACATCACCACCGATACCACATCACCGTCACCACCTCATCACCGTCACTACCACATCTCCGTCGGTACCACATCTAGTGGTTAAAGCGTTGGCTCGTCACCCCAGACCGTGGGTTCATCAATCCCCACATGGGTACAATGAGTGAAGCCCGTTTCTGGTCGTCACCCCCGCCGTGATATTGCTGGAACGTCACCAAAAGCGGCGTAAAACCCCACCGCTACCAGTCACCGCCCAACCATCACCACCATCCGTAAATTACATCAAACTCAAAAAACGTAAAACCACTACCTAACCCCAGTCAGTCAGTCAGGCACATCACCACATCACCGTCACTACTACATCACCGTCACATCATCACATCACCGTCACTACCACATCACCACCACCACCACCACATCACCGTCACATCACCGTCTACCACATCACCACACATCACCGTCACCATCACATCACCGTCACCACATCACCGTACCATCATCATCACCGTCATCATCACATCACCATCATCATCACATCACCGTCGCCACCACATCACCGTCGCCACCCACATCATCGTCACTACCACATCACCGTCACTACCACATCACCATCACCACCACATCACCGTCACCACCACATCACCGCTACCTCCACATCACCACGACATCACCACCACGACCACATCACCACCACCACCACATCACCGTCACTACCACATCACTGTAACCATCACATCACCGTCACTACCACATCACAGCCACTACCACATCACCGTCACTACCACATCACCGTCACCACCACATCACCGTCACTACCACATCACCGTCACTACCACATCACCGCCACTACCACATCACCGTCACTACCACATCACCATCACCACCACATCACCGTCACCACCACATCACCGTCACCACCACCATACACTTACCATAACATAACTACATTACAATACGAAAACTACGCATGTGTCTGTTAATACCGTTACATCACAATCTCTACGAAGCCACCAGTGTCTCATTACCACGTCCTGTCTACACCAGGCAGTGTCACGTCTACATGCACTCGTTGTTATCGTATTACACTTCCCCAAAATTGCATTTCCCCGTTATACTGTCCCCATCAATAACATACATCGAGAACTGAGTCCTTGTCGCCAGGGAAGTATCGCCAACTGCCATGCATGTATTGTCTATTTCCCCTTTAGATAAAACTTTATAGGTCACAGATGAGTTCACTTCCCGGTGTCACGTTTCCCCCAAAATGTGGAATTCCCCGACCTGAATAAGCGCTGACGTGTCTTCAGCATGTGCATGTCAAATTCCACTAATGACAGGTGCTTGTACATTATTCATTGTCGTTTCTGAGTATCGCGGGATGACTCACTGCTACGATTGTGTGTAGGGCGTTTCGACTCTGTGTTCTACACATGTCGACCCTTCTCCTGCTGTGGGAGGGGAATCTCTCCAGTAACCAACTGGTGTGTATGTATAAAATGAGGCAAAATCGTTGTGAATGAAAGTTGACACTGTCTCAAAATCATGATGTTTTACACCCATAGCGACGTGTTTATGTGTGTGTGTGTGTGTGTGTGTGTGTTTGTGTGCGTGAATATGTGTTTCTGTGCATTTGACAGTGTGTTTATGTCCGTGTGTGAACGAGTTTGTGTCTGGATGTATCTTTCTGTGTGTGAATGTGTTGTTTATGCATGTGAAAGTGTGTAAATGAGTGTGTATGTGTGTGTGAAAGTGTGTTTATGGATTCGTAAATGTGTTTATGCATGTGTAAATGTATGTTATGCATGTGTAAATGTGTGTTTATGCATGTGTAAATGTGTGTTTATGCATGTGTAAATGTGTGTTTATGCATGTGTAAATGTGTGTTTATGCATGTGTAAATGTGTGTTAATGCATGTGTAAATGTGTGTTTATGTATGTGTAAATGTGTGTTTATGTATGTGTAAACGTGTTTATGGATGTGTAAATGTGTGTTATGTATGCGTAAACGAGTGTTTATGTATGTGTAAATGTGTGTTATATATGTGTAAATGTGTGTTTATGTATGTGTAAATATGTGTTATGTATGTGTGAGAATGTATGTGTATATGTGTGTAAATGTGTGTTTATGTATGTGTGAATGTATATTTATGTGCGTGTTAGTGTGCGTTTGTGTGAATGTGTGTTTATGAGTGGTCTGTTTGTTAAAGTGGTCCAAATAAATGTCAATTTCATAATATGCTACTCCATAAACAACATATGTTTATTATTGATACCCCTCTCAGATACATTTTACTGACTCAAATTTGGACAGTCCATGTTTCACCCTTTTAAAGCCACTCGGACAGGGAAACAACAAGCACCGTCTTTTACATGTTTGGTATTACATGTTTATCTTCATCAACCCATGCTTGTCGTAAGAGGCGACTAACGGGATAGGGTGGTCAGGTTCGCTGACTTGGCTGACACTTGTCATAGTATATCAGTTGCATAAATCGATTCTCATGCTGTTGATCACTGGATTGTTTTAAAGCCACTGATCACTGTTTGGATACATGTTTATCTTCATCAACCCATGCTCGTAAGAGGCGACTAACGGGATAGGGTGGTCAGGGGAAACAAGTATAGCATAACCGACTCATGCTTTGATCACTGGATTGTTTTTAAAGCCACTCGGACAGGGAAACAACAAGTACCGACTTTTACATGTTTGGTATTACATGTTTATCTTCATCAACCCATGCTTGTGGTAAGAGGCGACTAACGGGATCGGGTGGTTGGGCTCGCTGACTTGGTTGACACATGTCATCGTATCATAACTTCGTTGAACGATGCTCATGCTGTTGCTCACTGGATTGTCTGGCCCAGACTCTATTATATACAGACCGCCGCCATATAGCTGGAATATTGTTGAGTGCGGCGTTAAACAACAGACAGACAAAAAAACACAGCATACGTATAACTTCATGCATATGACAGAAACACATTATAATCTGCCCTGTGGTTGTGACATTAACACGGTTTCTTCTTGTAATTATCAGTTCACGCAGTTTCTTTGTTAAGCATGGGGTGGTAAGTGTTGTATACATAAGCATGACATTCTATTATATGTAAATCAACTCTGAATAGGTGTGTGTTTACTCCCAAGGTCAGAGACATTGGTACAGTTGCTGGGGTATATTGGTAGATCTAGACACGGGTAGACGGGTGGGCACATGTGTACATACAGGTAGACGGGTAGAAATATACACTAGCTCTTGAACTCTGGTAGATATTACTCAAATACAGGTACTCTGGCACACGGGCAGACATATGCAGAGATACAGGAATACAGATACACGGACGCACTGGTACAAAGAAGGACTAACGAGTACACAGGTACAGATCAATACACACATACAGGTACAACAGTACAGCGTTCTATTTGTCGTGTTGTGACTAAACCACTTCATCAAAGCAGATGAAAGACGTTCAGGTCACATGACTCATTCGATAGTCACATGACTCACCCAGTTGTCGCATGACCCAAACACGACTCCGCCATTGTCACCAAACCGGGACAACACAGAGAAAGAAGGAGAGAGGGCGAGAGAGTATGGTTTTACGCCGCTATTAGCAATATTCCAGCAATATCACGGCGGGGGAACCTGAAATAGGCTTCACAAATTGTACCCATGTGGGGAATCGAACCCGGGTCTTCGGCGTGACGAGCGAACGCTTTATACACTAGGTTACCCAACCACTCAGAAGAAATGAGAAGACATTCGTTTGTTAATGTTCTCCAAAAATGGTAAAGATCTTTACAATTGTTATTAAAGCCGTGATTTACGAGCTCCAGAATAGGTCTAATACATGAGAGACACTGTAGTAGAGATATATCCTCGTTCATGTGTTTCAATGTAGTCTATCAAAGTATAGTCCCTGTTTCTTTATGATATTTTGCATTGAGTTCAGTATATTTCAATGGTCCCATCATAAATCATGCCACTATTAACGATTCTGCTATTTCAATGACCCGACCATGAATTATGCCACGATTAACTGTCAAAATTCAGGAAGAAGGAAGTGTGCCATACAGAAAACCCAAACAGGAACCTAATACCACTTTCCTCGAAAAACAAATCCGAAACACAGCATGCCGTTTTATAAAAACCTTCAGCGTGTGTTGTTGAATACTTCCGTCTAGACAATTTATTTCTTGTCAACACCTTCCTTACCTTTAATTCGGCATTTATATTTATACGTTAATATTTTTCAGATTTTTAGTGAGTGAGTGAGTGCGTTTAGTTTTACGCCGCTTTTAGCAATATTCCAGCAATATGACGGCGGGGGAAATGGGCTTCACACATTGTACCCATGTTGGGAATCGAACCCGGGTGTTCGATGTGACGAGCGAACGCTTAAACCACTAGGCCACGGTCCCAGGTGTTTAGTGAAACACCCTAAATCAAGATTATAACAAAGAGAAACAATCTGGATAAATAAAAAGCATTCTGGGTGACCAGCCCTAACTACAGAAAATGGCTGACATTTCTAATGGAAGGCCTTAATAATCCCTGTCGGAAAAACGAGGTTTCATTGTGTTTTGAACCTCGATAATCCGCAACCGGTTTAGCCGTCACGACTGAGCGATTAATGTCGGAGAGTTCTAGAAGATTAAAGGGATATTTATACATGACTATGATTACTTTATTCGAAATTTCGATAACACAATTTGTTCATTGTAATCTGAGTTTTTTATACATCCCTTCTTGGTTTCGCTGTGACCCAAACATTTAATTTTAATATTCAATGGCCTTTGATATTTAGTTCAGTGTTGTTGTCTCAGCTTTTACTTCACTTGACATTTCTTATTTTACATAACTCAGTAAAGGAACGGGGACCGTATAATAAACCGGTCGAATACTTTACGAACTCAGGCTATAAATGAACCAAATATAGAAAGTTTTCAAATACTGTTTACAAGCTCTAACATGTGTTTCGCAATATTAATAAATGTCATTTCAATATCGATTTCATTATTTCAAATATTCCAGACAGACTTATATGTTTTTAATAGTTTAATGACTACCCTTTCCTTCGCCTTGGAAAAATAGCTTTCGCCAGTAGTTGATAGTGCACAGGCCTGCGTCATCTTGAGTACGCAGACCGTCATCTGTAACAACGTAGGTAGTCTGTCTCACAGTCCCTGAACCACATCATTTTCCCTACTGCCAAGCCCTCTCTGCAGTGCTAAAGCACTAAATAAAGCAAGTCTAGATTTCCTCAGGTTCTGAATCTCTGGCCTCTCTAGGGCTCCTTTTCAATATAAATGGGTTTGTTTGTTACTATCAAAATTATATATATTTAGAGACTAAACATTAGTCTACAACCTAGGTTGCGATGTAATTCGGTAACCAGTGTGTTTTTAAAAAAATTCATTGATTGGGTACTATACGTTTCCGTCGTTGGCAGCCTGTGGATATGTTTTGTCTGGACAGGAGAATATATCTTCAAGCAGTTCTGGGATCGTTTCCACTGAAATATCTTAAACAGAAATAATCAAAGTTGTCCACACACACCAACCGTTAAACCCCTATAATCTGTTACAATTAATTTAATAATCTTTATTTGTTCTTTGATAAAGATATGTTTCTTTTTGTTCTCATAAGAGAATTTAACTAATCAATGAGTCATGCACTCCAACTCATCGGAACTGCAGTAACGGTAAACAACTATGACAGGCCTATTGGTCATGTGTTTTACCGTTATATGCTGTGGCGATGAAAGAAGACTATTGTGACACATCTATGACACGGAAATGAGTTCAACGCGGAAATGAGTAGGTTTCAAAATTTCCTGAAAATTAGCAATAATATCATCAAAAGTCTGGCGACTGAAAGTCATGTGTATATTTCGTATATGAAACTGAATTTTTTTACATGAATATAAATTTATTTTTCGGAAAATGCAAACTCTTTGCAAGATAATATAATCAGATTGTTAACAGCCGGCAATCTCAAGAAATTCACACTGAATGTGTTTCAACTCGGCCCCTTTATCAATTTTGAACCGGAGGCCAACTGCGCTACAATGATACAAGGGCGTCGTGAAGATTTACCAATGTTCCAACACTAACAAAACACTGACCAGTGCACCCGTGAAGATCCGGGTTAGAATTGGTCTTCTGTAACCCATGCTTGTCCAAAAGAGGCGACTAACGGGATCGGGTGGTCAGGCTCGCTGACTTGGTTGACACATGCCATCGTATCCCAGTTGATCGATGTTCATCACTGGATTGTCTGATCCAGATTCGATTATTTACTAAGACCGCCGTCGTGTAGTTGGAATATTGCTGAGTGAGGCGTTAAGCAACAAACAATCTGACCAATGTTGTACATACGATGTACATGTCAATAAATGACCGTGAAGGTTGCATTGTACACTATGTCTACCCGACACCCTGAACAATGTTGTACATACGATGTACATGTCAATAGATGTGTTCATGCCATGCACTGTTATCAGTGACCCGTGAAGTTCCGGGTTAGAATGAGCCTTCAGTAACCCATGCTTGTCGTAAGAGGCGACTAACGGGATCGGGTGGTCAGGCTCGCTGACTTGGTTGACACATGTCATCGGTTCCCAATTGCGCAGATCGATGTTCATGCTGTTGATCACTGGATTATCTGGTCCAGATTCGATTAGTTACAGACCGCCGCCATATAGCTGGAATATTGTTGAGTGCGGCGTAAAACTAAACTCACTCACTCACTGTTATCAGTAGGGACACAAGAAAGTAAAGACATGTAAGGGCAATACAATTACACCTGTTCATTTGTAGCTTCAAACCAGGTTTTTCCGTCGCCATCCACTGCTTTAACCACTTGTCTACTCCCACCCCATTAAGTGAGTGAGTGAATGAGGGGTGAGTATGGTTTTACGGCGCTTTTAGCAATATTAAAGCAATATCAAGGCGGGGGACACCAGAAATTGGCTTCAGATATTGTACCCATGTCGGGTATCGAATCCTGGTTTTCGGTCTGACGAGCGAACGCTTTACACACACACACACACACACACACACACACACACACCACCACCACCACCCCCCCCCCCCCCCAGTAAGACATATACAACTTGCATAAGAGGCGTTATCGCTTTGAAAAAATAAACATGTAAATGTCAAATGAGCTGGTGGTACACCTTTCTTATGGTACACCTACGTACAGATGTAATCAACATGCAGGTAGAACAGTATAAACAAAGTTCTGAACAGAAACCAATATTTATCCATAAATCCAAAAAGAAAAACATTGTTCATGCATTAAATCAAGAACGGATATGACTCAGTAACTGCAGTTGCATGCATCAAAGGAAAGTTGTTAGATTAATGACGCTGACGAATACACGAGCTGTGCCCTGAAGATAAGACGTAAGATGTTCCACCATTATATAATAGGGTACGGCAGATAGGACACTGCACACAACCATTGACGTCATTCAATCTCAGGGAACAACAAATATATGGAACGATAGAATCTGACACAGCGATAGCTTGCAAATGGTGTTTACAATCTGGTTTTCAGATTACATACAATATTATCGTAACACGCTCCAACGGGTACCAAGCCTCGCGATGCAATCAATGTGGTCGTAATTACTTCAACATTGTTCAACCGTGTTTCTACCCGAGGCTACAAATGTGTGCTAGTGACCCACAGAGCCGACGGGAACTCATAACAGAGTAATGAGAATCGCTTGAGCCGCACAAGTTGTACCACGGCGTGACGTGCGTCATGTGTGAAGTATGGGGTGTGACTCAGGTTTACGTTGAAGGGAAGTCTGAGTTACCTGTAGGATGGTGGTGAAATTAATATGCGGATGTAACACTTTATTGCTGCGTGGAAGTGTAGGTGCTTATTATCAGTTTTAAACATCGATTGCGTGGGTTTCTATGAAAATATGTTTTTGTTTTGTTGGAGCTCATTAAACAGTTTTATGTTTGCTTGTTTTTGCCTGTGTAATTTCTGCCCACTCGTATGGCTGCCTTTCTGAAGGGCTATATGGAAATCGGTGAAAGGACATAATGCGTCCAGTTTACAGAATAAAATAAGAAAATGATATTCTTTTATTCAGGAGAATTTTAATATCGAACTCGTTAAGCTATCATCAACAAGGGGCGGTGGGGTAGCTTAATGGTTAAAGCGTTGGCTCGTCACGCCGAAGACCCGGGTTCGATTCCCCACATGGGTACAATGTGTGAAGCCCATTTCTGGTGTCCCCCGCCGTGATGTTGCTGGAATATTGCTAAAAGCGGCGTAAAACCAAACTTAGTCAGTCAGTCAGTATCATCAACAACGACAGTATGGCGATCTTCCTCTTTCTGCCCATCCACGTACATGTATTTGGAATCGTACGGATGGATTAATTATATAGCCGGGAAAGCGGCATTTCAAATTATATAGGTAGAATACAGTGGGGCTTTATCGGCACTGAGTAAGAACATCAGAGACAAAAGAATTTGAATGATTAAGAGTTTTGCCCAGTGTGTTGCCGATACATTCGTCTTTTAAGAACTGTTTAAGCAAGTTGCAGTTGATATACATATATCCCAGCCTACACCCCAATATATATAATATTCAACAATCAACAATTGCAATCGTGGAACAGTTCTATAGAAAATAGCTCGAGAAACAGCACATTTAGACAGTGTAAAAGCCTTATCGAGCCTGAGACGTTCATCACCCTTCTAACAGATAGAAAACAGCACAATATGTTGGTAAGACTGAGAACGGGTGAAAATTAATGAAGGAAAATGGATGGGGTTAGATTTGAGCTTACGTTTCTGTCTTTTTTGTAATTTGGGGATAGAAGATGACTGACTGACTGAGTTTGGTTTTACGCCGCTCTTAGCAATATTCCAGCAATATCACGGCGGGGGACACCAGAAATGGGCGATAGAAGATGAATATGATTTTATCTTAACATGTAATTACTATAAGAACATAAGACACTTCTATCTGCCTAAAATGTATTGTCATAATCCGAATATGTATAAATGTAGAACGCTTTTCTCTTTGAACATGTGCAGTTATTGAGAGAAGTATATGCAATATATATCTCACTGTTATCATATGAGTTGTATTAATGTAGACTATCATTCACCATTCCTACCTCAATTGATTTTTCAACGTGATGTGTTTATCTGATATTTTAAGAATGTATATTTAGTAATTTTATGCATGTTTTATTTTAGCACTCATAGTGCTTTTACCAGATATTGAATGTAATGACTATGGTGTCTAATAGGCCCTAGTTGGCCGTGCTGTTTTACTTGTATGTATGTACGCAAAGACATCATATATCGCTAGATACTAGAATAAATTCTTCTTCTTCTTCTTCTTCTTCTTCTTCTGCATTAACATTGGAACCGTTGTGTGACAGAGGTACAAAGTTCATTCTGGCTGATTGACGGTAATGCTATGGCCATAAGGATTAACAATAGGGATAAGCGTCTTATGTACGTTAAGGTTATAAAGCGATTCGAGACTAATAGACGTCATTACTCAGTAATAGTCTCTGGACAATGTTTGGGATAAACCGGTTGTTATGACAACTAGATCGGTCAGTAAAAGTGGACCTTTTTAACTGATTTAGTGATCTGTTTCGATTACATTGATCGCTTGTCCGTGTATCTCCACGATAAGATTCGTTGTTCATGATATCAATCACCTGTTTGTGAAGCAAATGCTTAAATTGTTACTGCTGGAGTACTGTTTGCTGCGCTTTTACCGATTCGAGACACGTGTAACAAAGCGAGTGAGTGAGTGAGTGAGTTTAGTTTCGGCAATATCACGACGAGGGACACCAGAATGGGCTTCACACATTGTATCCATGCGGGGAATCGAACCCGGTCATCGGCGTGACGAGCGAACGCTTTAATCACCAGGCTACCCTACCGCCCCTTGTAACAAAGAGACAACTGTACCTTTCGTTAGTGTTGAATTTTGAAAATGCAACATCACACAATTTCTGGTTTGTGTGGACGTAAACCGATGACATGTCCGTGGTTAAGCAGGCTGTTGCTGTAGGTTATCGGGTTCTTTCCCGGGCTGTTAAAAATACACCAAGTGCCTGGAGAATATCGATCTGATGCATCCACAAGACGCTTGACGGAGGAGCGGAAGATAAACTCGTCGAAAGGTTTGCTGCAATCTGCGATAAATCAAATTTAACGTATATACGATTCATCTCTCCCTCTGCAAAGCAAAACAATAGACTTTGCAGAAATATCAGATAGCTATTTTTTTATAAATGGCAACGAGAGTGTCCCCATTATTTCATTCGTCTTCTACGTATCGTCTCCTCTTCATCCCGGCCTTCATTTCAATGTCTCACCGTTCTCAATCGTATCTCACTCATTGTATCACTCGCTCGTCTCCTCTGTCTCAAGATTGCTCGTCCCCTCTGTTATCTCGCTCTTCTGTGTCTCACTTGTCTCCTCCGTCTCTTGCTCGTCCCCTTCATTATCTCGCTCATTTCTCTAGACTTGTGTCTCACTTGATATCCCTCTGCTTTGTCTCTACGTCTCTATGTCTCACTTGTCTCCTCCGTCTCTTGCTCGTCCCCTTCATTATCTCGCTCTTCTGTGTCTCACTTGTCTCCTCCGTCTCTTTCTCGTCCCCTCTATTATCTCGCTCTTCTGTGCCTCACTTGTCTCCTCCGTCTCTTGCTCGTCCCCTCTATTATCTCGCTCTTCTGTGTCTCACTTGTCTGCTCCGTCTCTTGCTCGTCCCCTCTATTATCTCGCTCTTCTGTGTCTCACTTGTCTGCTCCGTCTCTTGCTCGTCCCAGCTATTATCTCGCTCTTCTGTGTCTCACTCGTCTCCTCTGTCTCTTACTCTTCCCCTCTATTATCTCGCTCTTCTGTATCTCTCTCGTCTCCTCTTTATCTCGCCCTACATATCAGTGTCTCGCTCCCATCTCAATCGTATCTCACTCATTTTCCGTGTATCTCCAGTCATTTCTGTTTCTCACTTGTCTCTGTCTCTTCCGTCTCTCCGGTCTGTCTTCTGTGTCTCATGTGTCTCCTCCGTCTCTCCGATCTGTCTTCTGTGTCTCCTCCGTCTCTCGTCTGTCTTCTGTGTCTCTTCCGTCTCTCACCTGTCTTCTGTGTCTCACGTGTCTCTTCCGTCTCTCCGGTTTGTTTTCTGTGTCTCATGTGTCTCCTCCGTCTCTCGTCTGTCTTCTGTGTCCCATGTGTGTCTCCCGTCTCTCGTCTGTGTCTCATGTGTCTCCACCGTCTCTCGTCTGTCATCTGTGTCTCATTTGTCTCCCCCGTCTTGTGTCTCATTTGCCTCCCCCCGTCTTGTCCCATTTGTCTCCCTCCTTCCCAGTCTTGTCTGTCATTTGTCTCCCTCCTCCCCCGTCTTCAGTCTCATTTGTCTCCGCCGTCTTATGTCTCATTCGTCTCCCTCCTCCCCGTCTTGTGTCTCATTTGTCTCCCTCCTCCCCCGTCTTGTGTCTCATTTGTCTCCCCCGTCTTGTGTCTCATTTGTCTCCACCGTCTTGTGTCTCATTTGTCTCCCTCCTCCCCCGTCTTGTGTCTCATTTGTCTCCCTCCTCCCCCGTCTTGTGTCTCATTTGTCTCCCTCCTCCCCCGTCTTGTGTCTCATTTTTCTCCCTCCTCACCGTCTTGTGTCTCATTTGTCTCCCCCGCCTTGTGTCTCATTTCGTCTTCTCCGGCTCTCGTCCGTCCTGTGTCTCATTTCTCTCTCTCTCTCTCTCTCTCACACACGCACACACTACCTTGATCCCCGTACTCTGCATGCCACACAGTGGAGTCTTAACTCAACCCGGTCTCCCACGCTACCAGGTTATATTCCCATCTAATAGACCGTGGCTAAGTTCGCATCTAGTGGACCGTGACAACCAGGAAATTACAAGTCATTCTTAGATATAGAGCATTGTTCCTCTTTCTCGCTCTCGCTCTCTCTCTGTACAAAACTTTTACACAAGACAGTGAGCGCGTAAACTCATTTAACCACAGTAATGTATATATTAATCTCTGTGTCTCTCTGCCTGTTTGGAAAGTGTAAAGTAAGTAATGTTTTGTAATAGTTTGGTATACCTCCTTTCTCTTAACCTTTCCTTCACCTCCAGTGTCCCTCGTTATCTCACTACAAAACTGAGTCACACATTCCATTTGTGACTCTCTCTCTGTCTCTGTGTACGTGTGTGTGGTCTGTGTAGTGCAAGACACTACATATACTGACATATTTGAGAAAAAGAACCTGTACCATATCTCATAGATTTAACTGGCACAATTGTGTCACTTTGGTCTAATAATACAATTAATAGTTCCGTCTCAGAAATGTCTCATTTCTTGTGACATCTGACCCTTTACATCGCCTCCAAGATGAAGAAAAAGTAAATGTCAAGCTATCCTCAGCGCTTTACACACTGCTCCGGGGTTCGGCTGAGGACCCTTCCTTTGAGTGTAGACTATTTATATACACATATATGTCAGCAAGATTAGGTTATCATTTTTGCAGAGAAAATGACAGATTAAATGTTTACCCAACATCACACCAAGGAAATAGAACTCTAATTAAACCCGAATCTTGCTGGAAGTCCATATATGTGTGTACAAATCTATAACACATGAACAGTTCGCCATAGCATAGACATATGTTACAAAAACACTGAGATAAAATACTTTTCAAACATTTATTTGTGTGTATTTCAAAATGCAATAAATAGTATAAACATTTTACATGGTAGTAAAAGTAACAAAAATATATATATGAGGGACAGGTCATGCTGAGAAGTGTCACATGTCACGTACACAAGCAGGAACCCAAGAACAAGCTAAGTCTCGGTCTCTGCTTTGGAAATAATACTGTCCTTTCAAGTTACTCACTCTGTCAATTGAGCAATTAAATGTCACTGGTCGCTGGATTTCTTCTTGGCACAGACATTGCGTCACAGGGCACTCTCAGTTATCTTCTTGATCACAATGATCATTGTTTATATAGAGAAAAAAACATTCCATCGCCCTTTGTACGCTTGGTCGATATTTGAAAGTTACTGCAAAGGTCACAGTTCAATATAGCCGTGTTTGCGCTTGTAATTGTCTTCGACTCTTTGTTGAGACACGTTGTAAATCTGCCCGTGAATGTCCCAGCGGAACGTGTGGATTTCGGAATGGCCCCTCGTGACGTCAAGACAGGTGCGTCAGGTGAGCCGAGCTGGTTCTTTGTTTCAACGTTCAGCATGCCTCACACCTTTGAATCCGTTTCTTAACAGTTCCAGGATTTAGAGTCTGTTCACACAGATTGCACATTTCACCATCGGTGTTATTGATAGCCTTGCATTTCAGTTATACAGGCACCCCGTCACCCTGGTAACAGATCGGGTGGGTGGCGACGTCTGGATCAGCTTCACAAAAATTTGCTTTTGGTGCACGGAGAGGGCTTCGAAAAGATCGGCAAGGCCATTTCTCCGTCTCCTGTTGGATAAGCAGTTAGCCACTTCCATGTTGGTAGTGCAGGAGAATGGACTGATCTGATCCTTGTGTAAAGATGAAGCATTAAGGAGTAATTCTTGGTAATTGTCCACTAAGTCCAATTGAGTGCCTACTTCCGAACCACTGAGAGACTCGTTCGAACTTTCAAAACAATCACTCTCTGTTGATGATGTTGACATGTTGGATATTTGCCTTCCGAAACTTTTCTCGACTCTTTCAATAGCTTCGTGGGTCCATCCCAGCCGTTCGAGGATTTCCTGATCGATACCATCAAATATGTTCGCCATTCCGTTCCTCCTGGACCTCTTCATGTCTGTGAATGTTTCATCGTCCATGACTGGCTGTTTGGTAAGATTTAAAACCATCGAAGTTGTTGTCTGTAACTAAGCTTTGACTGTTCCTGTCAAGTTAGTATATCTCGTAGCGAATGACTCAAGTCTGACAAACCCAAACAGTTCGTCTGGTTTTATAACCCAGTCTCTTCGTCAGCCAATGGGCAGTGCTTCAACAGCTGACGTCACACACGAGCGGAGCACATTGAATCAGTACTGTTTGCGTCATTGGGCGGAGCTCTATTGATGTCGATCAGAACCTGTCAGCCAATCAACGCGGTTGGTTAAATCTGATCCGGGTTTTCCCCTAGAAGACCACGTGGATATCCTTTATGCTCCGCCTCAGCTCACAATCAATACAAAGCAGAAATTTGATTTCTACTGCACCTCCAAACAAATACCTCTACGTTGAATGCATGCTAATCGACATACGCCCCTACACTGTCAGAATATTTACCTAGCTGCTTAGCATTCGTTGAAAATCGGTGTCAACTTTATCCGGATTTCGTCAGGCTGCGCAAGATTCTATTTTTAGATTTTGCCGCAACGTGGAACAAGTGTGTAATCTACCGTTCGTTTTGCGTATGTGCCCTACCTTATTTTGATTGTTTTTCCACCCGGAAAACCCCCCGTATGACGCCAAGCAATATCATTTTTAAACACAATTTTATGGTATAATTAGAATGGTAATGTTTAAACAGAATCACTGAATGTAATAATGTTAGAAATATATATCACAACAGATACAAAGAATTTTCTCTATTTCAGTAGATAGTTTGAGTTTTAAAGAAACCACTTCATTTTATTGCTTATATATGTGTAACATTGCCACACCCGTATGTCTTAGATCATACTTGACTCATAGCAATCAATACGTGAGTCAACGTGGAGCAAGAGTTGGACGAAGCACCCGTGCAATCCTTACACACAGCGCTTGTATCCCACGGCTTCAAGTAATGATTAAACAGTTTATTTCTGGATTCCTGTCAGTGAAATAGTACGTCATCTAGAGTGAGTGAGAGAGTTTATTTTTACGCCTCTTTTAGAAATATTCCAGCAATATCACGGCGGGGGACACCCTAAATGGGCTTCAAACATTGTACCCATGTGGGGATCGAACCCGGGCCACATCATCTTGAAAATGGAGACTGACTGACTGAATTTGGTTTTACGCCGCTTTTAGCAATATTCCAGCAACATCACGGCGGGGGACACCAGAAATGGGCTTCACACATTGTGCCCATGTGGGGATTCGAACCCGGGTCTTCGGCGTGACGAGCCAACGCTTTAACCATTAGACTACCCCACCGCCCGTTGAAAATGGAGATGTTTTAATGAACTATACTTAGGTACACGTACATGATGACTTGTTTTTTTCCCCGTAATGCTTCTTTGTAATCATCTAATTAAATAGAAGCGACAAAACCCTTTCCATATTCATAACAAATCTTTGCGAAAAGCAAATTCAAAGTCAAAATGGCAATATACTGATGAGGTATAGTTAGGTCGACGTAAATGTTGGCATGACCTGTTGCTTTTACTGCTGTTTTTTCCCTGAAAGTAATACTATTACTACTGTAATTGCTGATGGTTATTCCTGACTGTAATATTGCTACTACTTCTACTGTTGATGACTTTTCCTGAAAGTAATACGTAGAGGGTAATCTCCGAGTAACTCTCCATTCATGGGGAGTTACGAGGATATAAACTACTTCAATTACATTCAAAGTATTGATAATATTTTCTAATATCAAAATTAAATGTGAAAATGTCAAATGAAACGAAGTATCAAAGTCTTATATTTGAAACTGGTACACATCGCTCTATTCCTGAGCGACAGTGGAATGACGTCAAAATGTAATTTAATATTACTGCTATACTGTTGATGGTTATTACTGACTGCAATATTGCAACTACTGTTACAGTTGGTGGCTATTCCTGCCGCTAATACGGCAACTTCTAGTACTGTTGGTAGTAGTATTCCTGACAGTAGTACTACTACCCCTACTGCTGATCACTATTTCTGATCGCAACACTGCCTCTACGACCGTGGCTCCAGATTGACTGTTCAAGTTGACTGTTACTTCTCTGATCACTGTATCTTCCAACTATAACAATTAAAATTAACAACCAACCTTTGATATTGAGGACTGACTGACTGACTGAGTTTAGTTTTATGCCGCTTTTTAGCAATATTCCAGCAATATCACGGCGGGGGACACCAGAAATGGGCTTAACACATTGTGCCCATGTGGGGAATCGAACCCGGATCCTCGGCGTGACGAGCCAACGCTTTAACCACTAGGTTACCCCACCGCCCCTGATATTGAGGAAGCAGGGTTTGGGGTAATGTATAAAGGCTACATGTTTGAAGGTAGGTATCTTTTATTGTAATGTGGGCTTAAATATTTGAACAACTTCTACAACCACCAACCCCATTCATTTGAGCGATAGTGGCTGAATATTATTTTTCGTCGCTTGAACCTAGAAATG